TTCTGTTAAAGTTTCGTGCAACCATGCGTTTGAACCTGTGCAATGCAACTTTCTTTGACAAGCTTCGCAACAGTTTAATTAATTCCTTTTTCCCCCCACCCTAACATCCCAACGTATTCAATTAACGTAATCACTTCCCATTTTTGCAAATCTACAACACTACTTTCCTACCACACATTGCACAGTTAGTCCCGACAGTGCAGTTAAGGCTATGTGGCTTGCTAAGAGGCACCTCGAAGCCATTGTGCACGCCCAAGGGGGAAAGGAAACTTCCTGCTTCAACCAGGATTTCCCAAATGGCACGACAAACGTGGTTGCAGCGAGAATCTAGTCGACATGAGTTTGGGTGTTAAAGATCGTTTTAATTCCAGCTCGGGCTAAAAGCATCCCTTTTTGGTACAATCTCACTGTTCAATCGGTGAGAAAAACAAAGGACCGAACACGGAGCGTTTGTTCGCAATTGACGGGAGAATTAATAGGCAAACCGAAATTCATTGTTGGATCCAGCTCCGTTTCATTTGGAGTTCCAAAAAAAACCAAATGAAATTGGCATCTCTGTGGAAAAGCATTTCATATGAAGATGACTGAACAATAACGAAGGGTGAAACCGCGTTCCCCGCAGTGAGTCCTACTGTAAGGTACGCTCCCTGGGATGCCTGTTAGTCACCGTGGCTATGATAAGTTCTGCTAGATGCCCTGGAGCGGGGAGTGCCATGTGGGTGAAGCTTTTGCCTGTCGGATGGCTTGTGGTGAGAGCTAATCGCATTGAAAATAGAAATGCTTCCTGCCTTGGGACTGAGGGAGGGCGTACCAGAGCGACGCGAGCAGCCCCAAGGAGTCAGTCATACATGTGCGCGCCGAGAGATAGCCTAATCTTGTCACAAACACAGGGGGGTAGGAATGAAAGTCCCCCCACCTATCAGTGGCAAATGCTTCTTCTCACGGAAATTATTTGTAAAAATCAGGCCGGCACACCCCTGAAATGTACCAGGTTTTTTTTTCTTCTTCTTCTTCTTTTCTTGTGCACAAGCTGCTGTTGATTCATAATCCACCTATGCATACATTTGCTGAACTGGATCTCCTTTATTAAATCACTTCTTCACCCCTAAAATTGCTTTCCTGTCAAGCTTACCAGTTGGAGCCTTAACCTCCCCCATCTTCTATCATGTGCCAGTTTCTTCTCTCTCTCGTTTTTTTTTTTTTTTTTATTTACAATTTGCAGATTCTTTTTTGTCGATGACTCCTCTGTCTCTCCTGTAGCCTGTTTTTCTGCCGTCTGTTTTCCTGCCAGGTGTGAAAATGTGCCTCTGGTTTAAGCAGTGATTATGTCGAGGTTTTTTCCATGGCGAGCTTGCTGATTTTCAACTTACATTGTAATACCTGCTGACCCCCACACCCCACACACACACACACCCGCACACACACACACACGTCCCTGACTTCACAATTATGTCACTCGAGCGTCCTTGATGCCGTCTGAGTCTCGGCTATGCTTCACAGACAACATGCGGCGTCTGCTTCTGCATGCTGAGGTGGAAGGCGGCGGCGTTAAGAGCGATGTTCCCCGAGGTCCCGCGTATGTGACAAAGTGGCGGGAATGATTTTTTGTGAAGCCCACTGTGAAGGGCTTCAGAGTGAGGAAACAATAGGGCCGATTGCCTGCAGCCGAAACAGCCGGAGGCACGTTCTGATGTGAAGTGGACAGGGCTGGATTTCACTTCAAGAGCTCCGTGCGCTGAAAGGGAAATCACAAAGTGGTGAATAATATCAAGGTGCAGGCCTTTAAGCTAAACCGTAAAGCAACAGAGAAATTACTTTTTGGACAAACTAATAAATATCCACGTTGCGTTTTGCTGTTAGATGACAATAAGATGCCAGTATAATACAATCTTTTTTCAAATACGACACTGCAGAATACTCAGTTTAGCACAGGCTAAGACTGATTTCGTCATCTGTGCTCTGTGACCCACATCGTCGTTGCACCTGTTCAACGGCTGCTTAGAAAAGGTGAATTGGCCAATCACATTGCAGCAGCTGCTACGCATGCGTCTAGACGTGGTGAAAGTGATCAGACATCGAACATTACAAAACGTGTGCACAACGTTATCGGTATTCCACAAAGAACCGCAACTTTGTGATCGTGGTGCTTCAATTAAATAAGAAACGCAACGCAAATCAAACGTGAATATAAATCATTAAAAAAAAAAGCCGCGCCATCCTCCTCCTGCCACTTCCTGTTGTCTTTTTCGTCACTTCCACCAGTAGTAACAACCGGCTGTTGATCACGTGGCTACTGTGAAAAAAGTGTTTCTTTCAAGAAATACACCTGAACCTATCGCAAAAGCTATGTATAGAAGTACCTCACCATGTATATGCCTTGATACCTGGTAAGACACGACAGAGTGAGACATCGGTTTATGTTTTTCCAATTTTTTAAAAAAGATTTCTGCCATACAAAGTATGGATGTTAGTAATGTCGTTTCCATCTTATTCTTATTTCAACATACCTGGTAGATTTAATCTTAATTCTTTGTTTTTGGTTTCACATTAACAGGTTGCCCTATGATGGGCTGGCAACTTGCCCCGGTGTTCCCGGCATTTCACCCAATGACTGTTGTCAATAGACACAAACACTCTGCAAGGATGAGCACGGTATGGATAATAGACGGATGTAAATTAACAGCTGCCTTCATGTTCGCTAAAGCTCAGAACAACCCTGCGAATTTTCCCTGGAGCTTTGAAAGGAGCACTCACAGAAATGTGATTAAATCCTCGGCTAATATTGAAAAATTTGCACCTCTGGCAATTTGTTAGGTTCATTAAATCTCAATCATGTATTCCCTCTGTAAACAGTTATGACCGATCCTGATTGGATTTCCCTGAGTTAATGTTTATTTGCTGCTTGGTGCCAGTCTGTCATATGAAAAGTCAGTAAAGTCAGTGAAGTTTGAGGTTGTGATCTACGTTAGAAGATTAGGGCAACTACAAAAAAAAAAAAACAAATCTCACAAAAAATTTTTTCCTCAAAATTATGACTTTAACCAAGGGCATGTCAATAATATTAGTTTTTTCCCCCTCATTATTCTTTGAAAAAAAGTCACAATTCTGAATGAAAAAATGGAGATTTTGTTCTCGATTGCCTTCCGTAATAATCTATCAAAAGCACAAGTCATAAATGCTTTTGCGACCACTTTTTTAGCAGTGTCACATTTTAAAGCGACCTCGCCCGTACCGAGGCAGTCGAATCGTAAGGTCATCCCCCCCCCACCGGAGGAACATCGACGCGTCTCTGCTTCAGCCAATGACGTCGCATTCGGACACGTCGCCTCTGCTCCGCCGGCCGACTTTTTTCCCCCAGCCAGGAAATCAAAAGGAAGTTGCGTCTCCTCTGATTTAAATGTATCATCCTGCTCCATGCGTCTGTCAGAATGTACAAGATCAAAAAAAATAATTGCCATCTCATTTGACCGTGCTCGGGTTCTCGCTCCGTCGGACTCTCTGCTGATAGTCATGGCTCGGCTTTCATGATAATTTGATGCAGTGAATTCTGCTCTTTTTTTTTTTCCCCTGTTTGATCCAACGCATCAATAATTATGAGCCGACTCTGTCATCAGGTATCCCTGTGAGTGCGAATAAATGTAAAACATTGCAGCAGATAAAAAAAAAAAAAGAGAAGGAAAAAAAAAGGTGATTGGAAATGTGAATATTAATAAGATCACCGGCATCTATTTAGAGATTTATTTCATGTAATGAAGGAACAAATGAACTCCGGCGTCCCCCTGGCCTCCGGAGAGATCCTGAAGGCTCATCGTTTCTCCCCGGCAGAGACGGAAATGAAGCCTGTGGTTATTTCAGACGGGAAGTCAGGACGTGATACCCAGAAGTCTGAAATACTGCTGTAATCTGTTGCAAGGAGGGTTTCTCATTTACAGGGTATATAGATATAAAAAAAAAACCTTCATAACACTGCAGCAGTCATCAGCATGGAACATTTTTGCATCTCTAATTGTGACCGCCAACTCCGGCTTTAACTCTTAAGACTAATCCTGGCTGCTCGGGTCTTCTCTTGTAGGTAAACATGTCTTGGGGGGGGAAAAAGTAAAGTAAAGCAGCAACTTCCCGCAAATCAAGACCGCAGCCGGGCGAAGAGGAGCAAATGTTTTCGGAGAGTTTTATGTACAGAGTTTAGGGTTTCCTGGATTCATGTCTGTCGTTTCAGTGTGAGAATGAAACGGCTTCTGGGCCGGGAGTTTAATCAGCCAAACTGGCTGTTATAGACAGGGAGGAGAAAAAAAAAACACAAGGTGATTTCTGTGGTGTTTTGTATCTAATAGGATGTTATGTTCTTCAGAGGAGTAGGGAGTAGAGGAAGTATGGACCTCAATTTTTTATTTTATTTGGTCTTTAGTGACGTAAGCAGCAGCGCGAGAAGATACGATAACATGAATAATCAACTTCATGTTATTTATTTGTTTGTAATGTCACATTTTGCACTTGTAGATATATATAAAGATAAAAGTCTAACTTGATAGTTTTGTGGACGATCTAGATTCTTGATGACTGTTGTGCTTAAATCAGAAATTCCAAAAAGAAGAAGAAAAGTATATCACAAATGTTGAACGCAAGATTACGTATTTAATGAATGAATTTATTTATTTTGAGCTCCTGCTTAACATTTCAATGCACAAGTCAAAAACCAACTTGCAATGCTGGGAAAAAAACACAAAAAGACAAGACAAAACCAGTACAGAAACAAAAAAACCCCAAAACATTTCCGTTAAAAGACACATTCAATCTACATTGGTATAAAACTTTATGAAGAATATTTTGGTTTGCTTTCTTTCCCAGATCCAACAATAGTCTGGTAACACTGCTGTCTAATTATCTAACAAAGCTAGATAATTTGTTAATCTAACGGATTAAAAAGGCGAGGACAACAAACCGGATGGTGATTTTACACAGCAAAATGTAAGTGAAGTTTCCCCTGTTGGTCGTTGCAGGTGGCTGATCATATGAGGAGGGAATGCTGCGAGGATATGTGGATTAGGTGCAGAAGGGACCCGGCTCACTCCTCCCGCCTCCCACTTTCCACACAGTAAGCAGATCCAGCACATCTTCTGGACCAGCAGGCCACCAATCACTGCCTGGGACTTTTCTTAAGGTAACCGATGAGGCTTTATTTCCAAGACGCACGCTCGGAGTGACCGCAGAACTCGCCGGAAAGCACCGCTTCTGTTGGCTTGGAGCTCGTAACTGTAGGAGCGCTGGCAGAAGAAGTTAAAATGTCACCAACGTTTCAGGACGAGGCTTAAAGAGGCAGAAGAAAATATCAGGAATGTGACTTTTTTTTTTAAGGTACAAACTAAGCTGGATCTCACGTGAAGCGATTGGTGTTTAGTGTCTCTGTGGCGACAGCTGCAACTCCAGCAACTTTAATAAAAGCAATAAAAAAAAAGGATCCTAAGTGTGGCTAAGGCATCACATGAATCTCCTATAGCAGTCGCGTTTTCTTTAACTTTACTCTGTTTTTCACATCTTCGGCACTTTAGTTGGACGTAGTCACTGTACTTTGACTAGAAACTCCTAAAAAGGAAACAAATACTAAGAAGCGGCTAAAGGTCAATGAGCTTCCGCGGCTCGGCAGGGCTTATTTTTCTAGATAACAAAAGAAAACTTCCTCTTTCACAGCCTGTCATATTTTTTACGAAGTTAAAAGCGGGTCAGGTTGACCATCCCAACCTGTGTGCATCACCAAAGACAGATCTTTTGTGAGCTCTGTTTTGAGTGTGTAATTTCTCTGATTAAATTTGTTGAGATGGAGCCTGGACGAAGCAGGAAGGGCCGGTGCGACGCTTGGGGCAATGTTAAGCTTGGATCCCGCCATTGAAGCCGGTGTCATTTTGTCCCGTGCCAGTATTGTTGCTGACCAAGTGCGTCCTTTCAAGGAAATTGCATATGCTGATGGGAGTGCCCCTTTTTTCCCCCCTCGCCAGTATAATTAGTCCTCCCGTCTTGAAAGCAGCGATGGTCACATAATGGTTTGAGGGGGTTGACTTTCCTGCTGTAAAATTATGAGCTTGCAGAAATGGGGACCTCTTTTAGGTGGAGGGAAAGAATGGCGAGTCAGTTTCATGCATGTGGTGAGATAAAATTTCTGCGATTTCAATGGCATAAAAACAAAAAAAGCCAGAAATTTCACGAGTAAATCCGGACATGTCCGACTGCCATCAGCTGTGTCTCCGTTACAAATGTACAATTTTTGTTTTTTTATGACATTCCACTGATGTCATAAAAACAATAACGAATGGCAGTATTTCCATTAAATAAGGGAGCAAATAAAATCACACACAAAGAGGCTTGTTCACGTGATGAGTCATTAAAAATCATCATCCTCCCACCATTTTCTGTCGTCTTCTTCACCTTTTCTGGCAGTAATAAACATAACTTTGCAAAAATTTAAAAGAAATAAAGGTTAGGGTAATTCCAGTTTTCGCAGATGAGAGAACGACTTATTGTCGACTTGTTGGTCACATCAAAAAAATCCTGTGGAATCAAGTTACACACAAACTGCTACAAAACCGAATTATGTGTTGATCCGGCCGCCGTTATTCGAAGATGACATTACCTCGCGCTACGTTACGCAGTCGCTCTGTCTGTGCAGGAGAAGATCCACTCACATCAGCATGCTAAATGCTTAGAGTGGCCAAATACCTGGTTATGTGTTTTTGTGCCAGATTCAGACGTGAAGAACGACCATTTCACTTTTACACACCACTTAGACCGCATGGTAAGGTGTGACTGTAGCTACAGGTCAATAACCGGTAGCAGAAGACCCGTGTACACAGGAATCACAGTCCTCAAAGACAAATCTAAAGTTTGACCTTTTAAGTGACACTTGTAGGTTTGCGTTTGTTTGAGCACTTCATGAGGGTACTCATAGACTTTCAAGCAGAGAGATAAATTATGCATTTTAGGGATAAATGACCCAGTTTGCCCATAAAAGAGGTAGGTAGAGCCGGTGGATGTAAATATGTCAAGACTTTCACTGTGGCTGAAATCTGAATAATGTAGATTTACAAAAGATTATGTTATCTTCCTGCTTTTCTATTTCCTTTTTTTCCCCCCATCTTTATTTCAGCCCATTTTCAAAAAGCTGACATACTAAAGTCACAGTGGAATGTTTTACTACAGTAGTAGGGATTATTATTTAGTCATATTCACCACAAAATTCCTTTTAATGTTATTTTAAAGAGTTTCTCAGTACGTTAGTATGAAAGGAGAGCTAGTCGCAGTCCTTTGCTTTTACTGTTCAGGTTTAAAGAAGCAATATCACAACGAGGCAGTATCATCAAAGAAATAGTTTTCTGTTTTGAGATGGGATATAGTTCAAGGTTAGACCCAGAGGACTTTCTTACAACATATTTATGAATTATTAATCACCTCTAAACGGATTTCCACACTCGCTGGTTTATGGAGTAACCGTGGTTGCTTTCACCATCCATTAAAGATTCAAGCTTGACATCAGTTGAAAAGCCATTGATGCAAACATTTTCACATTTTGCTTCACAGACTATGACAATGACGTGCATAAACGTGATGCGGCGGAAGAGTTTTCAAATCTTTGTTTACAAAATGAGAATATCCGAAATCTATGGCAGACAGTTGGGCTCCACACTCTTGGGTTAACGATTTCTGGGGTCGCCAAAAGCATTCACTAAACCCATGTCATCAACGAGAAATAACATGCTGGTATTTGAACTCAGCCCTGTCACATATTGTCAGATGAGCGTTTAGCCGTTTGATATTTCGAGCATTGTCCGTTCAGACGTTTTATTTTTCCTCTTTTATCCGTCATCTTGATCTCTGGTCGCCGCACGTAAAGCCGTGAAGCTCAGCTGGGGGCGGCCAAGTCATTCATTGACAGCAATGGCTTTCCAGATTGCCATCGTCATCAATCACGAGTCGTTGTAAGGGGAGGTGGAGAGGGGTAAGATTAAAAGATCAGATTAAACTGCCACTTAGCAATTCAGCAGACTGTGAAATACAGGTGAGTCGCCTCTTAATTTCAAACACCTGTCTGTTGCTTCTGACACTCCAGCCGGCCTTGGTCTTCAACCGTCCCTTATTACAGGCGGCCACTTTTCCCGCATTGCCCTCATTTCACCGGGCCGTCGTTTTCCAAAGGCGTCTTTTGAGCGCCTTTTGGTTCGCTTGGTTCCAAGCATTTCCGTGTCCCTCCCAACGTTTCCCCGCCGCCGCGAGTGAAAGTGACGGCTAAGGTGAAAAGAATTGAGATCTACAGAGTTTGTGTACGTCGGTAATATGTTCAGTGGACTGTAACTCCCTCCCCGTGGATGACCGGGCCTCTCCAGCCTTTCGAGGGAGCGAGTCGTGAACGGAGCGCCGACGCTTCAGCGCCCCTGTGCCAATTGCTCAAAAACGGCCAATTTCCTGTCTAGGATGTGTGTTCTCACATTTTTATCATCCCCCGCTGTAGTTATCTAGTTGCACTTAGGGTCATCAGTCATCGATGCTGCGTTTAGAGGAAGCCAATGTGCAGTAAAACTGACGGACGGCCTTCCGCATGACTGAAGATGTATGAGGCGCGCAGGTGAGGCGGTGAGGCTCCTTCTTTTTCTTTTTTTTTATTGTATTTTCAGCGTTGTCATAAGGTGCCAGGAGGAAAAATAGCACAGCTTACCCTGCTCGCTACTAAATAAAGCACGGTGGGTTTACTGATTCAGTGTTTAGCTTGGCCAGTGTTTTCTGTCTTTTTTGGTTTGTCTGTTTGTTCGTTCTTTATATGTTTGCAGATTTTTGCAGTCACTGGAGACAGGACTGGCTAAAAGTGGAATTACTGCGAGATTTAACATCTCGACTGCGGTGAAATTCGATTTAAGATTATTTGTTTCATGTCTGATTGGCTTAGATGAAAATTCGAGTAACGATTTGGGAGAAAGTGAGAAAAGGAGTCAAATAGAAAGCACTGTAAACAACCTGAGTGTTTTGCCTCGTTTAGTATTTTCTATATTTACTAATACTACTGCTACAGATGATTAAAGTGGCAATATTATGTAAATTCAGCTTTTTTTCTTCTTTTTTTAGCTTTAAATCATGTTATAATATTGTTATAACATGATACATGGAGTGTTGACTTTAGTGTTTTATGGCTGATTTAGAAGTCCTTTAATCTCCATGGCAACCATTCAAGCTGTGCAAAATGTCTGGTTGGACCAAGCCCCCTGCCGTAGAGTTGCAGTTTCCAAGCTTCCAGCCTCTCAGAGCAGCTCCTTCCGACTAGCCAGCAGCAATTGGCAAACACAGGTGGAACTGGCATCCGCTGGGCTCATTATAGGACCTACTTCTCAATTAAAAACGCTGGTTAAGAAAGAGTTAACAGAGGAGGCATGTTGTGATGAAAGAACAGGAGTTTTTAAAGAGACAGAGACCCAATTTCTAGGCATTAAATCAGAATGTCAAATTTCTTTTAATTCATGCATAATACACAGCATTTTTATGATAACTGGAGGTAGCATAGTTACTTGATTGTGCTATAAAATGGCACTATATGCATGTAAAACACATAATACTGCTCGTTCAAAACAAGGGGTAAACTACTCTATCATGATCCATGATGCTGAAAAAGTTCATGAGGGCATTGTGAACCTTGTCAGCTAACTTAAAGTAGAAATGGTCAATAACCGTCTCTCTGTTTCACCTACATTGTCTAATCTCCATTGCAACTCAGCCATCATAAAAAAAACCCATATTGGTCTGATTTGTTTTTCTACCATTTATTTCTCCACATTTAAAATACGTCAGAGTAAAACCCAACAAAATCAATAAACGTTGAATTTGCTTAAATCGGCGCAAACGTTTGAGAGAAAATTGGCAACAAAACTCCATAATCATGCAGCACTACGTGTTACATTTGGCAGATTGCTGCGAACTACACTAATTATTGTTTTAACATTACTACTGACGCCGTCGAGAGCAATAAAAATCACACATTAGAATTGTATTAACGCGGTTAAATTTAGATGGCAGCAGTCCGCTCTCCTGGTGAAAACAAAGACAGATTGCAGCGAGGCAGATTTCACATCGACATCGGCGTTCCGGCCGTCGTCGGGGAACGGCACGTCACAAGCTGCTGCGCTTTCA